AATTGAATGAAATTGAAGAAAGCAAATTGAATTGAAGATTATAGGATATAAAGAAGAGATAGTATATATATGATGAATGGACAAGAAATATATATGTAAGAATTGTATAGAATATGATGAAAAATAATATTATATCTATCGCGAAAAAAAGTTTCATAAAAATAGACAAAATATTTTTTTCAACACAAAAAAATGGCTCCGTCGATCTACACCTAAAATTAATTAGTATCATTCCCAACCAATGTCTTATGAACAGTTTTTAATTTTTTAAAATCGATTTAGTATTGTGAGCTAAAAAGTGGACAAGTTTTACACTTTTTTGCCAATTACAAAGAAACGGCTTGGTCGATCCTCGCACAATGCTGAGAAACGCTAGTCCTCATCGATATACATCGAATGGCTTTTACATTTTTGAAATCAGTCTAGCCATTTTTTAGAAAACGTCGATTTAAGGTAAAAATCTGTTCACACACATACACACACATTATTTTTTTAAATTTGGTATTATTCGATTTAGAATGACTTGAAACTTCGCGAAAACATAAACTTCTCCTTCAGAAATTTTTAATATTAATTTGATTAATATTAAAAAATTAAATTATTTTTAATATTCAAAAAACTTAACAGAAACCACAAGGCTGAAACGATTTAATCTCAAATCAATGTATTTATATAGAAAAAATTGCTTCAAGATACCATTGTATATATTTTTGGGCAATGCCCACGAAAGTCGATTTTTACTTAAAATTCATAACCCAAAGTGAAAATTTGATATCATACTGCTTGATATCGAGATGGCCGAAGTTGGTATCAAACCCGGGACTAACCATTACACCGCGACCAGTTCGACTTCAAGTAAGGGTCGAATTTATTTTCTTTAATTACGGAAAAAACACATTCTTTAATAATGTTATTGAGGCCCATTGGGGTGATCCTTAATGTGGATGTTTTCAATTTTTGTTACTCCTAGGGATTCAATAGCTTCCAAATTGATAAAAAAAAATCTCTAAAAAGTTTATCTCTTAATATTAACTCTAACGTAATCCACACTCCAACCAAAGTTTCTTGGTTCTTCTTCCTAAGTAAATACTTATTTTATGAAATATGTCACTTTTTATTGCAAATTATTTATTTATGATAAAAATAAGCAAATTTATTATTCTCAAAATTTGTAATCACTTGTCGCTAAATTATGAAATTTTACTCATGTTATTTCCATAGAAACTTTGGTTGAAGTGCAGACTATCTAAAAGTTAATATAAAGAGCTAAAACTTTCAGAGAATTTTTTTATCAATTTCGAAGCATTTGAGCTCCTTGGAGCAAAACAACATCCATATCAAGGACCACCCTAAGGCCCATATTGAGGCTGCACCTCATGTCCCTTTCGAAGTACCCGAAGAAGCCCTCGTCAGTACGTGTAAACATGCAAAGAGTGTTATTACCTTTGTTGATGTTTATTTCTCTTTTCTCGACCGGTATAAACCGGTTCTTGTATTACATACGGTTGTACCTTTTTGCGGTGAGAAACATGCACTCATTGTTCGGAGTAATCCGATACTATTGCAGAGGTTGACAACGTGTTATTGATATATGTATTGAATCTTTCGAAGAAAAAGTTTAGGTTTAGGCAAAAAAAAATATTTGCTTATTATATGTTTTGTTGATGTTTAGAAAAACGCATGTGCTCAGTTACTATAAACAACAAATTGTCGGAAAATTACATTAACAATAAAAAATGTGAACTAGTGGCGAATGACATCGTGTCTTAAGACAAATTGCTCGAACTTCCAGTATCGTAATATTCCAGTACAGTAAATATTCGAGGAATATTAAATGTTTTCAAATAGATTATTTTTTCAAATACTGATATAAGTTTACATGATAAGTGAATAAACAAACTCTAGTAAAGAACTTGCAAGTCCTCTGAGAAGTGCAAGCAGCCTTTACAATAAACTACCGGACAAACTAAAGACAATGACGGACCTAAACAGTTTCAAAATTAAATTACATAAGAGATAAATGAAATAAATGAGTTAAAATCCCTATTTTAAATACTATATTACTTCTGTTTTGTAAAAATATTAATTACAATTAAGTATAAGTATGTATAAGCGTTCTGTGTATATATGTGTGTATAATATAGTAATAAGTAAAAATATATAGATGTCTTAATGTAAGCCTGTTACATAAAATTTAGATTTTATTTTTGTTATAATTGCTGTGATCTCTCATACCAGAACAATTGTCTGACTGAGATACAGTATGAATGAATTATATCAAATAAAAAAAAAATAAAAAACAATCGAGTTTAAAATGAAGGTCATTGTCTAATATTTATAAGAATTATATAAACTGAATAGCACAGTTAAAATTATTTATTTGAAGTAAATTAGTGATTTTTAGAACTTTAAAATTGAAATCCGAATTATTTTTAATATTAAAAAAAAATATTTATAGAAATTCAAAAAAGAAACTAGTAGTGTATGGCATCGTGCCTTAAGGTAAATTGCTGGAACTTTCCAAACCGTATCAAAATGTTTAAGGAATATTAAATGTTTTCAATAGATTATTATAAATACTGTAATTGCGTCTAATATTTATAAGAATTATATATAAACCGAATTACAAAGTTAAAATTGTTCACTAAAAGTATATAAGTGAGCTTTAGAACTTTACCAAAATTAAAATTGAAATCTGAATTATTAAAAAAAAACAAAAAACAAAAACTTTTGTTTCGTTAACACAAGCAGAAAGTTCTTTGAATCGTTGAAATCGAAATCGGAATCTGTGAAATCGAACGCTTAGTTCTCTCAAAAACTACTATTTTTTACACATTTTGCTCTGTATCTCCGAAACGACTGGACCTGCCTTTGCCAAAAACTAATCACATCTTCTACCAATCATTACAAATTGAATGTATTTTAGATAATTCAAATCGGATGCTCCGTTCTCTCAAAAACTCGCTTCCTATTTTCTGCGCTCTTTTACTCCCTATCTCCAAAACGGTTGGATCTGCCTTTGCCAAAAACTAATCGATACATCTCCCTATCAATCGGAATAGAATATTTTTTGAACCACTCAAATCGGTTGATCCGTGCGCTTGATAACGTGGACAAAAAATGCCGACACACAAAACACACACACACACATCCATTTTTTCTGAGGTATGACAAAATTTTCAGAAACCTTCAAAACGCGAAGAAATGCAAAAATGTTCATTTTAGTTTATCGGCCCCACCCTATGAGAAGTTAAAAATAGTGACAGTAATACAAAATCTAATTTGAAATGTGGAATAATTTGGAAATTCATACATTTGCGTGATAATGTTGCCAATACACGTAGTTATGTAATCAACTGAAGCATTCATAAAGATATCAACATAATAAAGATTGAATCAAATATATTCAGAGAACTTTAATAATAACCACAGCAAAATGTGACTGGGTACGCCACACGTATATAATTATATAATATTACGTATAATTATAATTATACTTTGTTAAAATTATAATATTACTTT